CACTCGAGTTTCGAGTGGAAGAACATGAGATTATTCTGTGCACTCTCGGTTCTACAATGCATCCGTATATACAAGTTCAAGCATCTCTCGTCTTAAGCATGCGCTCGAGCTTCGAAGACTCTTCGTTTTGCTTTTGACGGAAGAAGAAGTTGGTTTCGAAGACTCACTCGGCAAGGATTTGCAAGCCACGAACATTTCTAGGAACTTCCCCAGCTCGACTTTGACCGTGACCGAGTCCGAGACTTCACACAGGGAAATTACACCTTGTTAATGAAGCCATTGAGAACCCATCTAGACTTCACCTACTCCTCCCCTCCATTTATTTATGCACCTCCACATGGTCTATTTCTCTTCCAAATCCAATGGGCACATCCCATGTGCATATATTCTTCTTTCTTTCGCCATCCAAGTTGAATCTCCTACCACTGTAATTACCTTGGCAATCACCTTCATTTCAAACCGCATTAAGTTTTGTAGATTGGCAAATCGAGATGGGAGAAAGAAGCTGAACACATGTAATTGCTGCGAGTAGGCCTGTGAGGGGAAGCTGGTTTCGTGAGCAGCCCACAGTGGACGCAAAAGCCACGGGCGTTGGCTCAGTTTGGGAATCATCCCTTTTTCTTCCCGCCCAAAACAATAATAATAAAAAACCCCATATATATTTTATAAAAAGTTTGGTGGAAGTCACGGGAGTGGTTTCGGATCAGCCGTTTGTGCCGCAGCAGGGAATTGGACGTGTAACCGACGGGATGACATCGCGGGCTCGTCTTACGCGGACCGTCCAGCTGGTGCTGGAGATCCCTGGAGGCAGCCGGAACGTGCGCTCTCGACCAGGGCCCGCCAAGCGAACTCCAAGCGAAGAGGTGGGGCCCTGATCTACTTGGCTCTTCGTCGCACTGGGTCCCGCGAGGTGTCTTTCTTGTGGCTGCTGAGTTGCGGCCGTCTCACGGTGCGTTGTCGCGTCCCATGCAACTCCCGACCCCCTTGCACGCTATATAAATGCCCCGCCAATGGGAGTCTTCCTCGACCCAAGTCTTCTTCCTCCTTCTCCTCGTTCCGTGGTGCTCTCTGGAACGTAGAAACAGAGGGGGTAACAAGAGAACCGAAGAGTCTGTGCGTGATTTCTATCAAGGAGATGGGGAAGCAGAATGTGATAGTCCCGGATCAGTGGGTTGACTCCATGCGGGCCTCCTCCCCTACTCACGCCAAGGCGGCCGCCGTGCTCTCCGGTTCCCAGGAAGCCTCCCACGACGACGAGTACCACAAATGGGTGGTAAGTTTTCTGGCCTCACTGATCCAACAAGACCGTCTTCTTCGCGAACGAGACGCTGATTCGGTGAAATTGTGCGCAGAAACAGTACCCTTCGGCGTTGAGCAACTTCGACGACATCTTCGCCGCATCCAAGGGGATCCAGATCGTGATGTTCCTCGACTACGACGGGACTCTGTCTCCCATCGTAGACGACCCTGATCGTGCCTTCATGTCCGACGCAGTATGCTCACTCTCATCATGAACTGTTGTGCTATTCCTCTGTTTCTTCTCTGCAATTACCTAAACTCACAATCTATACTATATCGCATCCAGATGAGAGAGGTGGTGAGAGATGCAGCGAGGCACTTTCCAACTGCGATCGTAAGCGGAAGATGCAGAGATAAGGTGCATTCCTGTTTCTCATCACTCGCTGGATGAAGCCAGTGTGTCTTTACCCCCTTTTTTAACTCCAGGGGACTGCGTTGCTTGATGTGTAGGTGTTTAGCTTTGTACGATTGAGGGAGTTGTACTACGCCGGAAGCCACGGCATGGACATAAAAGGGCCGAGTAAGACAACCAAACACACAAAAGCTAAGGTGACTCTCTCTCTCTCTCTCTCGTTCTGCGTGTGTGTTTCTCTCTCATCCCAAGAAGACACTATCTAGCAGCTACTACAGTCAAAGTGTTTACCGATCTATTCTTTTACTCTATGCAGAGGAAAGGTGTTTTATTTCAACCAGCCAGTGTGTTCCTGCCCATGATAGATGAGGTGAGTTCTGCTCATGATCGAGCATCCTCCTTTTGTTCTTACGAACATATATATTCCCTGTACCAGCTGTACTGATCAGTTTATTCTCTTTCTCTTTAGGTATATAAAACATTGTTGCGGAAAACAGAGCTCTTCCCAGGATCCAGTGTCGAGAACAACACATTCTCTTTATCGGTTCACTACCGATGTGTCGATGACAAGGTAGATATACGTATAAATCGGTCACCACCATTTGGACCATATTCCTTTCATTGTTCATTACATAGCGTCACTGCCTCTCCGAATTAATGCCAGATATTGAGCTCATTATTCGAGATGGTTAAATCGGTGCTCGAAGACTACCCTGAACTCCGGCGCACCTCTGGAAAAAAGGTACAGCATATCTCGAATTGTTTAACCGGATTCCTCTCATCTACATGTTTGCATGGATATGAATCGATTGCTCTGTCGCTCAGGTGTTGGAGATTCGCCCGAGTATTAATTGGGACAAAGGGAAGGCCCTCGAGTTCTTGTTGGAGTCTCTTGGTAAGCTCAAGACAGAGATCTCATCGCATCTCGCACGCTTGACTCCGGCAGAACACCTCGTGCTCAATGAGCTATTCTTTGATCTGCAGGATTCGGCGACAGAACCGATGTGTTTCCGGTGTACATAGGAGACGATTGCACTGATGAAGATGCTTTCAAGGTGTTGTGTTATTTGCTTGTTATCTTTGTCAGACCGCGTGTCGATCGAATCACCGGGTACTCATAAGATGATCCATGATTCAGGTTTTGCGTGACAGAGGACAGGGTGCGGGCATTCTTGTGTCCGATATCCCAAAGGAAACACACGCATCCTACTCGCTCCGAGAGCCGGCAGAGGTGAGCATCAGCTTCATGGTTAGACCAAGCTTTCCCACACGAATGCTACGGTTGATAATACCATTTCCTCGAATGGTGTTCGCAGGTTAAGGAATTCTTGAGCCGCCTGGTGGAGTGGAAACGCCTCCCTTCCTCCAAGAACAAATACAAGGATGCCATGAGCTAAGATCGAAGCTATGAGGATGCTTTAGTCATGAACACAAGGAAGTCTCTTCTGTTTCTTTTTCCTAGCTTTTCTGAATCCTTTTCTCCTCTGTGCGGGAAAGGCAGAGAGAGAGAGAGAGAGAGAGAGAGAGAGAGAGAGAGAGAGAGAGAGAGAGAGAGAGAGAGAGAGTA